GAAAGGAAGGAAGGAAGGAAGGAAGGAAGAAAGAAAGAAAGAAAGAAGGAAAGAAAGAAGGAAAGAAAGAAAGAAAGAAAGAAAGAAAGAAAGAAAGAAAGAAAGAAAGAAAGAAAGAAAGAAAGAAAGAAAGAAAGAAAGAAAGGAAGAAAGAAAGAAAGAAAGGAAGAAAGAAAGAAAGGAAGAAAGAAAGAAAGGAAGAAAGAAAAAGAAAGACATGTTGCCTGTGATAGACCCTCCGTTAGGGACCCAGGGGCACCACGCCCCGGGCCCTCTGGCTCAGCTTCCCCTAACGGCTGTTGCAACATCCTGGGTGAGATCCTCAAGCATACATCCTGTAGGGTGGGGTGCAACATCCTGTTCTGTAAATAACCTGATCTGTCTTCCCGGCATCCCACCGGACCCTGTTATGTAACCTGACAGTATAAATATTTCAGATCAAACCCTCGGGGGCGCGGCCCCTGGGATGCACGCCTGGGGTCCGTCACCGGCCGGCTCAAATAAACGCGCTCACAATTCATGTCAATCGGGTGCTGTGCTCTGATTTCTCTCGGTCGTCCAGTTCACTGCCCAACTAGCCAATTCCAGTTTGGTCCCCAGTGGGCACCTCCTTTTTTAGTCACAGAGGTTGTGATAGTTTCATCCTTCAAAAAATAGAGGAAACAAAAATGAGAATTTTTCTGGTTCCCTTTCTCACTAACAAGGAAGAACTGGTTGCTAGAGTGGGAAAAATGGGAACCTTGGGTGGAACTGACCACTACATCTTAGGGTTTAAGCTAAAAGACGATAAGAAATCTGGGCACAGTATAACAAGCACTCTAGATTTTGTGAAGGCAGACTTCAAGAGATTCAGAAGAAAGATAGGTAGGATACCATTGAGTAAAATGGTTTCAGAGGAAATTAGATGTAGGATCTTGCCAGCAAACTTAAATTTTTAAAAGGAAATACAGAAGACAAAGCAACACCAAGTAGCAGAAAATTAATATAAAAGTGTGGCATAGCCTTATAAAAATAGTCAGGAATGAAGAGGCTTAAAATAAGCTAAGCCTGGAAAGAGAAAGCCAAGGGCTATGAAAGAGGTTTTTTGGGGTTTGTTTTTTGATTTATTTTTAAAAGTTATACTGAGAAAAAAAAACATTCAAAGAAAGAATCTTTGCTTGGGGTAGATAGGGTGATACTAACAGTAGAGTTGCTCAAGTTTTATCTGGATCTAATGCACACTTTTTCTATTTCTGTTTCTGTTTTCTCTGCCAAGGAAATCAACCTTTAACCTGGAAATGACCAAACAAAAATTACTAATAGGGAGCTAATGCCCCAAATCAAAGGAGAGAATAAGAGAGTTCCTAGCTACTCTTGAAGAATTCTAGTCATTTGGTCCCAGTGAAATGCATCCCTGGTTTTCAAAGCATGGCCATAACATTTGAAAGATATGGAAAATAGGAGAGGAACCCTAAGGTTGGAAAAGGACAAACATCAAAATTTTCAAAAACGGGAAGAGTCTATAAACCACAGGCCAAATTTTAACAAGTGTCTCCCATAATTCTTGTGCTGAAGATGGAGATACATGGATCAGACAATAATAAGTCAGATGGAGTCTTAACTGAAGAGAATGTCTCTAAGAGGTACAGATAAGGAAGGAATGCATTTCAAGTATATAGGAAAGCCAGTGCAAAACCATGGAGATGATGAGTGAGGAACAGAAAAAGGTCAGTTTGGCTGGATTGCAGAGTGTGGAAAGGAGCGTAATATCAAAAGAGGCCAGAAAGATAGGCTGGGAGAGATTGAGAAGGGCTTTAAAAGCTAGACAAAGAGGATAAGAACTCACTATTTCTGGGAAAACTGGAAAATAATATGGCAGAAACTAGGCATAGACCAACATCTTACAACACATACCAAAATAAGGTCAAAATGGGTAAACAATTTAGATATAAAGGCTGATACTATAAGCAAACTGGGAGAGCATGGAATAGTTTACCTGTCAGATTTATGGATAATGGAAGAATTTATGACCAAATAAGAAACAGAGAACATTATAAAATGCAAAATGGATAATTTTGATTATATTAAATTGAAAAGTTTTTGTACAAACAAAGCCAATGCAACCAAGATTAGGAGGGAAGCAGAAAACTGGGAAAGAATTTTTACAATCAGTGTCACTGATAAAGGCCTCATTTCTAAAATATATAAAGAACTAAGTCAAATTTATAAGGATACAAGTCATTTTCCAATTGATAAATGGTCAAAAGATATAAACAGGCAGTTTTCAGATGAAGAAATTGAAGCTATCTATAATCACATGAAAAAATGCTCTAAATCACTATTGTTTAGAGAAATGCAAATTAAAACACTCTGAGATACCATCACACACCTATCAAATTGCCTAATATGACAAAAAAGGAAAATGATAAATGGTGGAGAAGATGTGGGAAAATCGGAACACTAATGCATTGTTGGTGA